ATGTATGTATGTATGTATGTATGTATGTATGTATGTATGTATGTATGTATGCATGTTTCTTTCTCTCACATTCTCTCATTAGAGAATATCTTTTATTATATGAGACAAAAAGGCAGTAACTATTACTATCTTGAATATTTTTGAAATAAGTAAGAGATAAATTTACCTAACACTATTACATACCTATTACAAAATTATATTTTGTTAATTTATATCTTACACTCTTATAATCTTACTACAATCTAACAAAATTATATGATATAAAAATGCGGTAACATTTTTTTTCCAGGTGGAATAACTTTGAAGATTTAAAGATTAACTTTGTTTTTTTTAATGGAATGTTATATTTTTGCATTTATTTTTTGTAAAAAATGATGATTTATCATGACTAAACTTTAATGATTTTGAGTCATCTTTTTGTCATATGTTGTAACTTTTCGAATAACCACTATTTAAGAGATACTGAAGCTGAAAATTTTACCGACAGAGTACTGACATTTTTCTACAAAGTTTATCATATTGGGTGTACAGAATTATAAATGCTTTCACGCAATGAAAGTACATGCAAAAATAAATAGGAGCATTGCTCAATATATAATGGAAACGAAAAAAAGAAAATTTTAATGTAAAATCTCAAACTATATTAGTGTAATATTTACTTAATCCAAAAGTTCTGCATCTTGTACACACGGAAAGTTTGGATGCTTCAAACAAAAAAATTTTGAAGAACATTGTTGTACTTGTGCATTTAAATTCAGAAACGTAAAAATATCGGAAAAATTTGCAGATATATTTCTACATATGTGTGGTTAGGTTTTCCGCTGAATATAGTAAAATAAAATAATACACATTTACATAAGTTCTTTATGTGTATATATGGTCGAGTTTTTTAATTCATCGATGGATCCATCGATGAATTAAAAAACTCGCCCAATATAAGAAATACGAAAAGACTAGCATAATTGTGTTAGCGATGATTGTTTGTATGTTATCGAATATCTTCGTCGATTTCAGCATTCCTGTAATAAATAAATACAAAACATAACGTTTCATAAAGGATGCATTCGGGGAACACGCTACCAACGCTACCGCGTTTTTCTATCTTTATCGCTCCTTAAATAACAACAAGGATAGAATGACGGTAGCATTGAATAGCGCTAATAGCGAGTTCCCCGAACGTACCTAAAAAAAAGAGTAAAAAACAAAAAAAACAAAGATAACTTTCAGATCTTCAAAATTATTAAACCTAGAAAGAAAGTGTTATCACCATAAGATGATAGTTTCTGTACTATATATTTTCTATTACATAAATTTTTGTTCTACTCTTATATTTCAAAAATATCTATGGTAGTAATAGTTATTGTCTCTCTTTCTCATCTTGTATATTGAATTCTATTTATAGAATTAATTAATCTTTTTAATTATGTATTTTCTCTTACATGAAAAAGGATGTGAAAATGGCGGAAATAAAGCAAAAAGACGCTAAGTTAGATACAGACCAGTCAAATCAAAAGGATAGCAAAGACAGGAAAAGAAAAAGATCTCCTAGCCCAGTGAAAGTTTGTCAAATGTCTCTTGCTCCATTTAAACCCGAGGAAGAACCAGAGTTTGATGAATATGCTGTAACTTTGTCATATTGTAAGCATCCACCAATTTCATATATTTCTTAACAATTACTAAAACATATTTTAGTCTATGTAGTGTATATTTTAATGTATATAAGTTTTAAGTACATATAACATATATTTAATAAGATTAATAGGAATTAACGTATTTTTCGACTTTTAGATGATTCAGACTTAAATTTAGTCATCAGTGAGGATGGTTTTTATTCTGCGACACCTATGCATAACGATGATCTCTGTCATATGTGGGCTGGCACAAGAGCGTCTTATGGTTTTACAAATGGAAAACTGTTCTACGAAGTCAAAATTACGGAAAACTGTCCCACTACTGCTCAAGATAAGGAGCACATGCTCAGGGTTGGTTGGTCGACTCTCGATACGTCGATGCAACTTGGCGAGGAGAGATTCAGTTACGCGTACACGAGCACCGGAAAAAAAGGCACGGACAAGGAGTTCACGGATTACGGAGCAAGCTTCAACAAGAACGACGTCGTGGGATGCTATCTCGACTTGATGCCTGATGACACCGTGGAATTGTTTTATACGCTAAATGGCATGGAGTTGGGATCCGCATTTAGTATCTCTAAAGAAGAACTCGGTGGCAGGCCGCTGTTTCCACACGTTCTGAGCAAAAATTGCACATTCGTTTGCAATTTTGGGCAAGAGGAGGCATGGTGCGAGTGTCCATTATATATGCAGGATTACGTTTTTGTGGGCAATGTTCAATTGAAGAACAGGATTGCCGGTCCACGTAGACCGAACGAAAGAGCCGAGTGCGAAGTGATAATGATGTGTGGTTTGCCGGCGGTGGGGAAGACCGCGTGGGTGAAGAAACACGCGGCCGAGAAACCAGACAAACGATACAATATTTTAGGGATCGATAACTTAGTTGAGAAAACGGGGGTGGGTATCTTAAAATAAAGTTTAATATGTAATACAGTCGTTTGACATAACATTTTCCACTCCATAGGATATTGCCGTGTGTCAAAAACAGAACCCATCTTCGCGAGACGTCATTATCGACAAGTGCAATCGTGCACTCGACGAATTGTTAGACGTAGCTGGCAGCAGAAGACGTAACTATATCTTAGACCAGGTACGAAACGATATACATACACGATCCTTGTGAAAGCTAGTCGGATGTCTTTATAAAGAAAAATTTTCTTATTGTGCATACAGGGAAGTAACGTATATGCTTCTGTACAAAAACGTAAAATGCGGTATTTCTGCGACTACCAACGGAAAGCGGTCGTTATGGTATTAGCGGACGAGGAGTACAGTCAACGTCTGTCCGTGCACGATGCACGGAAAAAATTCTCAGATTCGGATATTATGGAATTGAAAGGTATTTATTCGTATTGCATTGAACAGATTTACATATCAATGTCAAGAAATGTGCCATTTGTATATAGAATGATATTTAATTGAAATTATAAAAGTATATAACAGTAGTTTTCTATTTATACACACTATACACACACACACACACACACACACACATATATATATACACATACATACATGAAATTACTAATTATACATACACAAGCACACACATAATAGATAATAGAAACTTTATAATCCTTTTTATTACATTGAAGTAAATACTATACTGAATTAATTATTAAATTTACATCATATAATAATATACATTTTTTTATTGTGTTAATACAACAACAAATTTACTAAAAGTTACATTAAGATTTTTACATTACATTTAATTATGACATAATTGACATAGTTTGGAACAAATTTTGTTCATTTTTTTCGTATTTCAACATTCTATATGATAAATGAATGCAATCTGATCAATTATAAGGAACTTAACGTTACTGAATTTTGTGATCTGATATACTAAAAGTTGCTGTAAAGTTTTATATATATATACAAGGTGTCCGGTAACTGACCGAGCAACTGCCGTGTACGGGTAGAATGGGTCAAAATAATCATAAAAATTACATACCATTTTTAAGTTTTCTCAATATTTATTCCGTAATTAATTAAAATGTATAAACGAGTGAGCTCACGAAAAGCGGTAGGACAGGCTCTGTGTGTGTGCGGGCGTGTGTATATACAATTGTTAATTTTGTGTTATATGTAACATTTATTTATTAAAACTTAAAATATTGTAGCAAACTTTATTACACCTTCGGTGGGAGAGTTTTTCGATACGGTAGAGTGGGTTGGACTGAATGAGGAGGAGAGTAAGAAACTAATCGAGAAATACAACAAGGAAGGTAAGGAAGCTGGATTTGGCCAACAACAACCAGCAAAGCGAGCCCGTCTCGACAAGAACGAACCTGCTAACAGAGAGATACGCGACTCACGAAATAATAGAGATATACGAGATTATCGTGACAGGAGAAACAATTGTAAGTTGATTGTTATTAGCGATTCTTCTTGTTACCAAATAGAATGTCGCTAATAATAATAGTGTGCACTCGTGGTCTAGATCAAGACAGAGGAGGTCGCAATCCTCCTTGGCGTGGTGGCAATAATATGGGAGGTTGGAGAGGAGACAGACCGCAGAGAGGCGGCTACATGAGGCATAGCGGTGGCTATGGACCTCCCGTTCCATGGAGAATGCGAGGACGCGGTGGACCCTTGCGAGGGGTAGACCGACGAGGTGGTGGGATTGACAGAAGACAAGGAAACGATAGAAATCGACCTGTTGCAGCTAGACAAGGAAATTGGGGTCATATGAGGTAAACTTTCTTATTTAGTTTTATTAATTTTCATTCTTAGAACATTATCTCTCTTTTTGTTTTGTTACCAATTGATCATTCATTTGAATGTATTTGTTTTCGTTTCAGCAGTAGTTATCAAGGATCACAGCAGAGTGGATGGGGGGGAGGTTCCGATAATTGGTCTGGTGGCCAAACGCAAGGTAGCTGGAGTCAACAGGGATGGGGCCAACAACAATGGGGAGGCAGTTGGAAAGGATACGGCGGTCAAGGGACATACAGCCAGGCGGGGTACAGTCAGCAACAGGGCTATGGCAATGGCAATTGGAACAATTGGAACCAGCAGTATTACAACAATCAGTATTGGGGCCAGCAACAACAGAGTGGACAAACCACTGCAGCTGGCAGCCAAGCTGTAAGCAAACAATAATCCACCACGTAAATCTTACGAGAACGGAACAGAGAGTAAGGTATAAGGTGATACCCATTTTTTCGTATGCATATTATAAAAAAAAATTAGGAAAAGAAAGAAAAACCTGTTCCTTATCGATCGTTATCTTTTAAAACTTAGATATTTTATTCGGCGGATTTATGGAGTCGTATATTTGCATACTTTCCAACAAAATTTTTGAAAAGTTGCATCGTGCAGATGTAACAGATATCATAGAAACAAAATTTAGGAGATATCTTCGTAAATTAAAAAAATTTAATTTGTAACTCATTTTCTTTGAAATCCACCTGCCAATATAATCATACACGAATTTTATACTCATACATGTATACATTCGCAGGAAATTGCAAATGAAACGGTTGCAACAACCGATACGGGAGCAGGATACAGTTACTCGCAAGGTTGGCAGAGTTACACGCCAGGACGAACTACTGCCGCACAAAGTGCAGCACAATCGACCACGCAGCAGTCTCATTCACACAAATAAATAGACGTCACGATCGCATCACAGCACACGTATTCACAAGTGTTTGAATTTCTTGCAACATGTAAGTGTAACATGGAAGATTTACATCAATATAGTGACTATTTGCCATAGTTACGACAAAGAAACTTTTAGAACGGGCATTTTTATTTTTTTCTTTTATGCGTAAAAGCATTGTTATTACAAGCACTGTGAAAATACATTTGCGAAGGAAAGACGATTGCGGAGAAAAAGATCGATTTTCCTTTCGTAAGAAAAAGAAATTTTTAGCCCTTTATTCAACGATATTTATTCGAGAAAATTTCGAAAAGATTATATACGTGTATGGGTCGATAATATCTAATTATGAAATTTTTTGAATGAGATTCGTACCTCTTGTTAATATATAGGATATTATGAAATCCTGTTATTATTAAGAATAGGGATGATGTATGATGCTATCCTATTCGTACCTCTTGTTAATATATAGGATATTATGAAATCCTGTTATTATTAAGAATAGGGATGATGTATGAGATATATTATCCTATGAGATAAATAATGTTAAATTGAGGGCTAGAACACGATTGATACTTGTGAGCTTCGAAGATCCTTATCGGAAACACAGGTCTAATAATCTAAGTGCATTAATGATAATGTAACAGTCATGTATGCGAGAAAAGATGTAACTTTTCATCGCGCCTTAAAAATAATGGCACATGCAAAAAAAGATGCAAATAAAGGGGGGGATATAAGAAATGTGAGAGGAAGAGTATTACGTATGGGTACATAACACGCAAATAACATTAGATCGAAAAGATACTCTTAATTACTAACCGTACACCCTCAAAGAATTGTGTAAATATGTACAGATTTAAAGTAAAAAATGGGAAAAAAAGAAAAGATTAACCAGAAAAACATTAATGATCTATTTATACAATGGATATATAGAGTTCTGTAGTGTGAAACCTTTAGACTGGGTGCCCTTTTAGAGAAAGAGGAGAAATATATAAAAACACAAATATATATATATATAATACAATATATATATATACACAGATAAACAATATATATATTGTATATCATTTCTGTCTTTATCTTTCTATACCACCGACATTGTATAAAAGGAGAATATTGTAGCGTAAATAAATTATTCTTGGACACACGTTTTATACATGCAGGTTTTTCATTGCACGAGGTGAACGAGTCAGGCAAATTAATGAAAAATATACCATCGATTTTCTTACTCTCTCTTTCTCTCTCTCTCTCTCTCTCTCTCTTTCTCTCTCTCTCTCTCTCTCTCTCTCTCTCTATTATTGTAGATCCATTATATTGTATTTGAAAATGACACCGAACAAGGTTTTGCTATAATATTAGCTTTATTAAACACAATTCCATGATATTTGTATCTACTGTATTTTCTAGGTTTTGTTTCTTTTTCTTTGATGTATGTTATTTCGTTATGATTACACGATAATACTGTTTTGCTGATCAATCCGCCTCTTTCACCGAGGACGGTGTTATCATATGTATTTAATTTTGCACATTTATTCAATCGCTCAGCACGTGGTATTCGGAATCGTGGCTTAAAAGACTTACGATGCATTTGTTACCCTACGTACTTCCTCTGCTAGGACAAAGCGGTTTTCTTTGTTCCATCTCAAAGAGACGGAACGAAGACCGGAAATCCCTATATCAAGCATCATGATAGCGTCTTATGCAAAATGCATACATGAAAACCTTATAAGAGGCGTGTATATATTTATTATGCGATGCGTATATTCGAGCGCAGACAAGATTTTCGTATCGCCTTTAATGGCTGAACAGATTGGATTCTGAGTAGACTCGATCGACTACTCTCGGGATCCTATTATTACGTAAGAAAATTGTTCTATCTTTACGGAAATCGTTCGTTTATCTGCACTTTGTACACCGATAATATATTTTTATAACATACTAATATCGTTTTTCTTTTATATATATATATATATATATATATATATATATATATGCACATATATATGTACATATATATATATATATATATATGTATATATAT